CTCTCTCTCTCAAATAAATAAATAAAATCTTTAAAAAAAAAAAAAAAAACAGGCCAAGCAGGTCCCCTAAGTTTGTAGCTTTTCTCACATATGCTTTGGAGGTGATCTGGGGCAGACCCCACCCAACATCCATCCCCAGCCTACTACTCTGGCCTTCTCTCCCGGAGCGCTCTCTCACCTCTCACATCCTGAGACCCCGCCCCCTCACCTTGATGCCCACAACACCGCCCTTGGATTTGATCACTTGGGGGAAGGGACGCCCATCATCTGTCTTCTGGTAGAGCGTCTCGTGGAAGAGGATGACGCCCCCGATGCAGGGGTTCACGCGGTCGTCGGCGGTCAGCAGCAGCTGTCGGTAGAAGCGCCGGTTCTCCTCTGTGTTCTCAGTGCCGATGGACTGCAGCCGCTTGGCAATGCTCCCTGGGAGGGGGCAGCATACAGAAATAAGGGGGTCAGCCGGTCACCCTTGACCCTAGGCTCTCCTCCTACCGCGTCCTGCCCGTACCAGTGGACTCATCTGCAGCCAGGATGCCCTTGCCCGGAGCCACGATGCGGTGAGCGATGTCAGAAAGCTCCTTCTTCTGCTCCGGGGTCAGCGCTGGGTATTGGTGGGGCATGGTGCCGGTCAGTTCCTGGGCAAAGGAGGCCGACAGGGGAGGACTGGTTAGCGGGCGCTCACTGTGGTCTTCCAACCAGCAGGGCCCCTTGCCTGGAGGTTGGGATAAAGGTTCCCTACCTCCCCTGCTCCATACAGGGAGGTATCTGGCCACTTCCTGTCCCCAGCCCTCCCCTACACCCAACTTCCCTATACTAGGCCTGCCTCCTGTACCTTTCCTAACACTGTCTGTTGCTGGGTGTTTCCCAGCTGTGGGTGGGGTTGCGTACTGGCATCTGGGGCAATGCAATAGGCCAGAGCCATGGACAGACGGGTCATGTAGAAGCCGGACCCTTCTGGCTTGCGCTCTGCCATGGGGTCACCTTGCCTAGAAGCAGAACCGAACCGGAGTAATTTAGAATTTAGAAGGGGTACATAGGCAGAGGGCCCAACCCAAGGACCCAGAGAAGGGAAAGTTCTGTGTTTCAAGTCCCACAGCACAAGGGCCAGAGCTGAGATTACAACCCAGATCTTCTGACTGCCAGGGCCTTCCAATCCACCCAAGATCCCAGGGCTGGCCTAGGCTCCAAAGCCTCAAGGACATCCCAAGGTCAAGCTTCTCCACCAGGGTTGGGGGAGGGCGTTCGGAAAAGGGTGTTAGAAGAAAGGGCAGGAGGGTAATCAGAAGCCCAGGAAAGGGCAGCAGAGGAAGCCCAGGCCGGGGTGGCGGAAAAGGGTAAGGTTTGCCGATCTCACTGCTCATACAGGGTGAGAGAATTGTAGAGAGGCAAGCGCCCCACCCCTTCCCCTGAAAGTGCTCCTGTCTGCTCGCGCGGCTGCAGCTGTTCCAGGCTCACCATCAAGGTCACCCAATAAGGAAAGACACGGAAAGTGTTAAGGGCCATCAGGCGCCTCCAAGGGGTTTCCCCTCCTCGCCGGGGGTGCCCACCTCCCAGGGCAGGGCCCAACCACGCTTTCGGGAACCCTGAGTCAGTTTTATGAGCCGGCCCCCATCCCTTGCTGCCTCTTAGGATCCCCGCAGAGGCAAGGGGGCCGTAATGTTTTGCACCTGGGGTCCCGGCAAGTAAAGGAGAAAGAGAATGGCCCTTCATCTCGTCCTGCTTCCTCCCTCGCCATGACGCAGCGCGCGGAGCCGCTGCATTGCGCAGCAAACCGAGAGAGCTCAAGCTGGAGAGGGTTGCGGAATCCGGGCTGAGAGCTTATGTGTGGATGGTAGTGGGGCGCGAGAGATGCTGGGACCGGGGTTGGGGGAGGGGGGGCCGACGGCCCCCAGGATCCTTCTCCACGGTCCCTGACCTTCGCGCATGGCGAGGGGCGCTCACCTGGCACGGGAGGGGGCGGGTTCGCGGGGTGCGGCGGCGGAGGCGGCGGGCCGGCGAGCAGACTGAATGAGCGAACGCGGCAGTCGTTACCAGGACCCTGGTTCTGCGGCGCGTTCCAGGAGGAACGCAGCCTATTCAGCTCCCGAGGGGGCGGCACAGGGGGCGGGCAGGAGGGAGGTGGCGCCGGGCTTTATAAGGGCACGGCTCCAGCCTCCGCCGGGTTTTTTCCCTTGAAGGGGGCGGGAGGCGCCCTGGCGTCCAATTGCAGGCGAGGATCGGTGGAGAGGCCGCCCCCGAAAGGCGAAGCCCGGAGGCGGCGCTTGGGCGGGGACAGCGCGGCGAGAACACGATCCCTCCCCCGGCCCCCTAGGACGTGACTCGGGCCACATCCTGTGGGTCGCCGGGGCCCTCCCCTCCCTCTCCCTCCCCCCCCCCAGTTGGCGCGTTCTGGGGCGCCGTGACTCAGCCGACTGGGGCTCCGGAGGAGATGGGGAGGGGGGAAGGGGTGCAAGAACCTGAAAAGACCGAGGCTCAGCCTCCCCGCCCAGCCCCCGCCGGGCGGCCCCAGCTTCCGGCCGGCGCTGATGGCCGCGTGTGTCACGCTGTGGCACACCCGGAGGTCGGGCGTCGGCCGGCCTCGCCCGCAGTCTCCCCTTGCGGGCTCAGGGGCGCGGGGCCACCCCTCCCTGGGTCATCAGTCCGCGCGGAAGAGCGGCTGCACCGGGAGGAGCCCGAGAGGGCGGCGGGGCAGCGGTTCCGGGAGGCCCGCCCGCGCGGGTGTCCGCGCCCCGGCTGCGCCCGTCGGGCTCACGGGCTCTGGGCCCAGCGGGCCAGCCTCGCCGCGCATGCGCAGGCGCTCTCCGCCCCGGGCCGGCGCAGACCGACCTGCCGCCGCCGCCGCCGCTACCGCTCGTCCCCCCGAGTCTGGGGACGCGGCGCCAGAAGCCCCGCGAAAACGTCTCCCTGGGACCTGACTTCCCCCTCCAAATCAAACCTGTCCCTAGCTGGTCAGCCCCCAGATACATTCCGAACCCCCTCATCCTAACCTGGACCCCGTAGGCCGCCCGCCCCTCCCAGCCCCCGCTGCGTCCCAACGGCGCCCACCTGCGAGGCGGCAGAAGGAGCGGGCAGAGCCTGGTCAGCAGCGAGTGAGCCGGGCCGCTCCCGGGCTGGGTTATAAGGCAGCTCCCGCCCTCCCCCCAGTCCACGTCTGCAACCTCCTCCGGTGACCCCTGCCCTTTGCTTGCCACGGATCCGCTGGCAGGGACCTATATTTAGGGAAACATGAAGCCCCTGACATTCATGCCAGCGTGGGGCCTACAGTGAGGGAAGGGGGAGGAAGGCCTGGGCCTGCCCTAGTTGGGGGGCAGGGGCGTGCCCTGCCCACTCACCGGTACTTTGGAGGACATTTCCTTGGAAATCCAGCCTGAAGCCCTCAGAGGTTGTCAAGAGAAATCAATCTTTGCACAGGGATCTGTGGGGAGGGAGAAGAGGAAAGGAGACTCGGATCTGTGGCCCTCCCTGCCTCCTTCTCTAACCTCCCTCCCCTCTGGGCCCTGATGATGGCTCTTGTGATTCCGGGGAGACCATGCCTTTGGCGGGAGAGCAGATGCAGGCGCGATGCTCACCTCAAGATAGCCAAGAGTCCATGGACACTGTGTGGCTGTGGTACCCCTATATCCTGATACTCCAGGCTCAAGTTTGTCCCATGAGGTGGTCTGTGGTGAGCAGTGTCTCCCACCCTCACCTTCAATTATAATAGTTTATGTGGCAAGGAGGAGAGGTGGGCAGGGCGCTAGGCCCTCTCCCTCCTGGCCCTCAGAAGGGGCTGCAGTCCAGATGGCCAGGGGCTCTCTGAGTCCTGCTCTGCAGGGAGCCAGGCTCTCCACAGCTGGTTCCCAGGCCGATGAGCTGTGCAGGCCATTTGTGGTTCCAGGGGCCTGGAGAAAGGTGCCTGGAGGCCCCGTCAGGGAGCGGGGCAGGGAGCAGGGCATGTGGGCCCTGGGGGCTGGCCACTCCCCAAGGGGCAGGGACTCTGGGGCCTCATCGGAGCTTGATCTCGAAGCAGAGACAGTTGAGGCTCTGGCAGTCAGGAGGCTGGCAAGCACAGGCACAGTCACAGAGCGGACAGCAGCGGGGACAGCCAGGGGCCCAAGCCTGAGGGAGAGGAGAGAGGGGTGAGGGAGGGGGGCAGGAGGAACGGTGACCAGTCCCCTAAGCTGTTTCCCTCTCCGGAGAGAAGGGAACAGAGAGGCCTGGGAAGCCCCATTTGCCCAGTGGAACAGAGGGTACCATCTACCATTTCTTGGGAACAAATCAATTCCCTGTGCTGTTGAGAAATCAGCAAGGAGGTGGCGTTCCAAACAACTGAGCTCAGGAGCTGGAAGAAATTATTCAGGGGGTTCTTTCCTTCTTCCCATTTTATAGGCAAGGAGACTGAGAGATCAAGTAGCCCTGTTCCATGAAGTCCCGATGTTCAGCTCAAAGTTGGTTCTACTATATCCTTGTGGCCTCCTTCAGTTCCAAATGAGGAGACGAGGGAGAGCACACACACGTTTTCCTTCTATGATAAAAAGAACTTGGTTCTGGGGGCGCCTGGGTGGCTCAGTTGGTTAAGCGACTGCCTTCGGCTCAGGTCATGATCCTGGAGTCCC